GGTTACCCTACGAAAATAAAATAAACCCCTCAAGCTATCTCCTTAAAGAATAACGAATTTACGAAACTACTTACTTGTATAAAGATTTCTGTTATCTTTTATTTGCTGTACTGTATGGTTGATGGCTTGATATAAAAGAAGTGTTCAGAGGACCTATATTCTGGCTTTAAACAAATCTTTAATTTTCTTTTAGAATTTAAAAGCCAAGTTAATGTTAAAAAAATAAGAATTTTAAATTTGAATTCAGGTTTAAAAGTATTATTCAAAATTTTTAAAAATTTTCAAAAGAAAATTTCTATATGACAAGCTGACACTTATAAAGAAGATTTAATATATAAAATCTGAAATCTTTATGTTGTAAATTAGATCTGTGCGTGTTGTAAATTAGATTTGTGTGTGTACAAAGCATCAGTGCTCTACGGAAAGTGTACGAAGCATTAGTGCATTACGGAAAGAACGGAACAGGCACACAACATTCTTTTGACTTTTCAGATATGCTTCTAGCCGCTCACGAGTCACGACAATGATTCAAGGCATAGTATTAAGAATCATATCGTTCATCGAACTGGTTAAGGTACTGGGTCAATAGATTAAAAATTAAATTGGTAGGTCACTAGTTAAACTGTATAACTCAATTTTTATTTATTTTTATCAAAATATATTCATATTAAATATATTTTATACTTATAAATTTTAATAAATTCATATCTTATTTTAAATTTTAATTTTTCTATCTTATTTAAAATTATTTTTATTTTTATTTTGTAAAAAAATACATAAAAAAATTACATGTTAAACGGTATATTAATACAAATTAAAAATATAAATAATATGTACATATATAATATGCTTGCAATTAATATCACAAAATAATATATGTAATATTTACATAGATATTGAATTATTAAATATATAATTTAAAATTAATAATATACTATAAAAGTTATTTAAGTTGTATATATTGCAAACAAATATATTAGAACAAGTAGTCATTGTTATATTTAATAAGACTCCTTGCTTTTCTATTAAGAGATTCAATTTTCATTATTATTTTTGTGATTTATGGTCCCTTAAAAAATTTTAAAAAAAATTAAAAAAAGTGGTTGAACTGGTTTGACCCACCGATTCACCGGTTGAACCGGAAAATTGACCGGTTCTATCCGGTTTAAAACGGGTTGATTGCATAATCGATCTAACTTAAAATTCGGACCGACTGGACCACCGATTCCAGATCCAACCGATCCAACCGGCCGGTTCGGTCCGGGTTTTAAATCACGGATTCAAGGTGTTGAACACCCAAATTGATATTAACGAAATAATAAATATCGAAAAACTATTGATATTAGTGAAATAATAATAATTAAATAATAAATATTGAAAACTGAAGTGTTCGATGGTCGGTTATATATGGTTGTTTATTTTATTTTTTTTAGAATTAATGTGGTACTTATCATTTTAAAATTTCAATTTAACGCTTAATATTTTTAAAGTGGACCAAAATGATCATATTTTTTTGTCATAGTTACCGCGGTTAAGTGTTGAAACAAAAAAAATGTTGATATGGTAAAAAAAATCATTAGTGACATATTGATAAGGAAGGGGGGGGGGGGGGCCCTCTTCTAAAAATAAAAAAT